GGGAGGGGGGAGCGAGGGGAGCCACCGCCGCCTCCCAGGTGTCTGCCGGTCTAGGAGGCGGTGTCCACACACCCAGCAACTCAGAAAGAACGGAGGGAATGGCACCAATCTGTTACAATTTAGAAATGAATAAAACCAACACTATTTTTTAAAAATAAGCACAAGTTTACTTCATTTCTCCCTGAGTTACGTCAGACTAGATAGAATTTTATCTTGAAGTGTCTTAATTTATATTGCTGCCATCCATAATCCACTCCTGCACTCCACAATTACACCCAACACGTCTGACCTCTACCCCAAGCCTTTTGGTTGAATTGTCAGGCTCCTAATGCCAATATTTATAGGAAAACTCCGCTTAAAGTTCCCCCAAGAGGAATCTTTATAAGGATCAGATCTTCACTGTGTGGTTTTCTAAACTATTATGGGCCCATAATAACCAAAATACACTCTCAAAATTCAAAGTTAGAATTTAGCCTTTGCAAACAGCACTGCATTAACGCAGTCTCTTGGAGAATAGCTTATTAATACACAAATCATCTTAATTATAAAAAGATGGGCCTGGGCCGGCTCCGTGGCTTAGCGGTTAAGTGCGCGCGCTCTGATGCTGGCGGCCCAGGTTCGGATCCCGGGAGCGCCCTGAGGCACCACTTCTCCGTCCAACGTGAGGCCGAGTCCCACGTACAGCAACTAGAAGGATGTGAACCTATGACATACAACTATCTACTGGGGCTTTGGGGGGAAAAAACTGAATAAATAAAATCTTTAAAAAAATAAATAAATAAATAAAAAATAAAAAGATGGGCGAGGATAAGTTCAACATAAAAATCTAATTAAAAAGACAGATTTTTAATAAATTTCAATTATACTCTGATCATAAGTGACCTTTATTAGAGAATGCATATTCTTGTGACTCAAACCAAATATTTTAAAAGAATGATATACCTAATAAAAATTGAAATGAAAGTATTTATTTAAAATTGTTATAATAAAAAGCAAACAGACATTTAGAAGATATTTGTCTCATTTTAGAAAACATTGGCTTTAAGGATTAAGAGTAACTTTCCAAACTCATTGCCAGAATTAAATTTTCACATCACAGAAATGTTTAATAACAAATATTGACCAACAGATTACAACACTAAAGTTGTACAACAAATAAAAAAGCTTTCTTTTTTCTTTACCAAAAAATCTGAACTGATGAAGTAACAATAGAAAGTTAACATTGATTTCAGAAAAAAAGGCACATCCAGGCAAAATAGTCAAGGCGATCTGCAGACCAAGCACTACACCTATACCGTGCATGACAAACGAACACGATAAGTTACTCTGGAGATCCTAAAACGTGGCAGTAAGAGTTTGTAAAGCCGGGCAAATATGAAGACACCCCCTTTCATGGAGTGTTCTGTTCCCGATGTAGAAGGCTCACAGGAATGTGCGATTATACAACTGTCCCAAATGTGTGCTTTCCACACACAGCAGTCGCTATTCATCCTGGTGCCCTCAGAGACTGGACCGTCTCTCAGGTCGCAGCAAACACTTTGTAATGGCAGCCCTCCACAGCACCGGGGCCAGTAAGAGGCTGAGCGTGGTGACACTCAGGATGAGGAGGTACACCTGCAACAGGTAAAACTGAGCGTCATCTCAGTATTATTAGGTGCACCTGCAGCACGTAAAGCTGGGGGTGCTCACTCTCAGGACGAGGAGGTGCACCTGCGGCAGG